ACCATTTTTTGAGAGAGATTTTCACTGGTTTTTTTTTTTTTTTTTTCCGTTTTTGGGGGTGGAGGCACTCTGAAGCTATCATCTGACTTGCATAGTTCCTGTTGAGAAGTCTGCTGTAATTCTCACCATTGTCCCTCGCCCTGGGATTGGTCTTTTTCTCTGGCTGGCTGCCTTCAAGCTGTGTTTGTCTTTACACTTCATAGGTGTGAATATGATATGTCTAGGTGTGGTCACTGTTTTTCAAAATGTGTGTAGAGAATCTTTCTCTGGCTCGATGTTCTCTGAATTTCTTGGAAATCTGCTGTCCTTCACTGGTTTCTGAGAATCCTCAGTTCTCTGTTTCTTTCTTTCTGTTGTTATCTAATAATGTGTATCTTACTTGAGTCTTTACAGTTTCTCCATCTTGTTTCTTTCCTACCTTCTCTTGCGATTTCACTTAGTTGGTGACATCTCTTGGATGCCCTGTTGCACTTGTTTTACTGGTGGCTTTTCACTCTTTTTCTCAGATTGAGTTATTTCTGTTGACCTATCTTCAAGTCTCTGTTTTTTGCCTCTCAGCTGTGCCACTCTAATGAGAAATAGAAGCATTCCTCATCTCCTTTACTGTATTTTCATGATGATTTTTACCACCTCCATTGGACTCTGCTTACAGTTTCCATCTCTCCTGAAATTCCCCCATCTGTTCCTGATTGTTGCCTACTTTTTCCATTAGACTTTACTGTATTTAATCATCAAAACCACACCCACTTCCCTGGAGTCGATTCCACCCCACAGTGCCCCTAGAGGACAGAGGGGAACCGCCCCACAGGGTTTCTAAAGCTGTCATTCTTTACTGAAGCAGACTGCCTCATCTTTCTCCCATGGAGCTGGTTAGTTGAACTGCCAAACTTCTGGTTAGCAGCCAAATGCATTAAGCACTACACCACTAAAGCTTCTTATATTAATGACTCATAATTATAAATTTCCCATCAGATTGTTCCAACATCTGGATCATCTCTGAATCTGGTTCTGTTGATTGTTTTGTCTCTTGACAGTGGACTTGTGTGTGTGTGTGTGTGTCTGTGTCTTTTATCATCACTGTTATTGAAATTGAATACCACGTGTGGGACAAAAAAGACTGAAGTAGATCATTTTTATGCTTGGCATAGGCTTCCCACTTCTGCTTCTAGGCAATTAGTAGAGGAAGTTGAGTTAGCATAGTCAGAAGTTAAGCTGAATTTGGGTTTTGTTCCTAAGGTTCTCTGGTGGTACAGTGCCTAAGGCATTTGACTGCTAACCAAGAAGTTGGCAGTTCAAACCCACCAGCTTCTACTTGGTGGAAGGAACATGAGGCAGTGTACTTCCATGAAGATTTACCACCTTGGAAACCTACTGGGCGTCACTATGAGTCAGAATTGACTCGAAGGCCATGTTTTTTTTTCCTTGGTTTATAGCTACCACAGTGCTGGTTTCCAGTTCCTCTAGTGTTACCTTGTGCTCAGAGTGGGGGCTTGTTTGCCCTCAGTACCCCAGCTCTACCTTAAGCTTTCGACCTTTCCTGTCACCCATGGGAGAGTCTTGGTGCCCTTGCCTCCCTTCCGCTGGCCCGGATAGGGGGCAGAACTGGCTTTCTGATGACTTGGTTCAGACTCAGTCTTGGATGGGCTTTGTACCTCCACATCTCAGGATGGGGCTTTCTGGAACCTTGCCCCTTCCTCAGTGGCAGGAAACATCCCCTGTGAGGCCTAGGATGGGTTCCAGTTCCTCCAGGGAAGGAGGGTCTCTGCCTTTTGCCTTCCTCCAGCTGCAAGGGGAGGCAGCTGGGCTTTCTGACCTTCCCCCCGTGGCTGAAGGCTTTTGTTCCATTGGGAGGAAGGGTCCAGGCAGAGCTTCAGGTCTGTGCCCCAGCAGCAGCCACTCCCTTCCTCCAGGCCTGCACCCGCAGAAAGGTTTTCCCCAATCTCCTTCCCTACCCCACCCTAGTCTTTCCCATGAACACCTGGTAGGAGATGGAGGAGAGGAGCTGATGAACGGGGGTACACACTCCCCTTGTGTCTGTGACCCCAGGCTCTGTTTTCTCACTTGAGACCAGCTAGTTAAAGTCTCTGCTGCATTCTTACCTGCTGGGTGGCTCAAACAGTCATGCACTCAACTCCTGATCACAGAGTTAGTGGTTCAGATCCACCTGAGGCTCCTCAGAAGAAAGGCCCGGAGTCCACTGGGAGACCACCTCTTGGAAACCCCACAGAGCGCAGGTCTGCTCTGACCACATGGAGGCGCCGGTCCTGCAGCCAACTCCACACAGCTGGGGCCCCTCCCCCAATTTTTTGTTGTGCAGTAAAACTGCTATGTGATGGTGGCTATGTCTCCCGTCCCAGTTCCAGCCCAGTGACACCATGTCACTAGCTGTGGTTGGTCCTGGTGAGAGTAGCCTTACCTCTCAAATCAGCAAAGGCAACGACCAGAGGTTTTCCCCAGCAAGCAGTATTAAACGCTTATCAGCATGTCATCGTACGGGGCCGGCCAGCTGACCGTACGGGATGCCCTTGCTAAGCAGCTCCGTGGCCCCAGATGGGCCGGCTGTGCAGTATCAGAGCCGCTGTGCCTTGGCTGCTCCTCTGCAGGGTGGTCTGCCAGCAGAAGACGAGCCCCGGGGGCACCTCCACAAGCCAGGGGTGTGGCCTCACGCCCCCACCTTCTGTCTCCCTCCTTGCCCTAGATCGCAGCCAGGACAGCTCAGCTGTGGCGCTCTCAGACTCCAGCTCAACGCAGGACTTCTTCAGCGAACCTGCCAGCTCGCTGGAGGGCTCCCGGAAGCCCCTCGTCACTGAGAAGAGAATGCCCACCCCCAGTGCCCAGGCAGGTCCAGCTGGAAGAGACCTGCAGGGGGCCACAGAGGAGAGAGGTACAGACCCCGAGCTAAGTGTGTCCAAGCTGCTGGCTGCCCCCAGTGGCCTTTTCGACTGGTGGGCTGGGGCGTGGACCATGTCACCAGGGGGCTCCACCCCCAGGCAGGCAGGGGTGCATGCGTCACCAGGGGGCTCCGCCCTCAGGCAGGCAGGGGCGCAGGCCACGTCGTCAGGGAGGCTCCGGTCTCAGGCAGGCTGGTGTGCGTGATGGAGGCTGTTAAGCCACGAGCACCCGATCCTGCCTGTGGCCTGCCCGGCGTTGCTGGGGCTTCTAGAGCCACAAGGAGGGTCCTGCCTCTTCCTTCTATCTGAGCCAGTAGTGAGCAGTGTGGCTCCCATTGCTCAAGAAAGGTGGGGGACCAGCGCCCTGTGGGAGCTGGGGCCCCGGGAGTGAAGCCTCTGGCGTCCCTGGGCACCTCCTTGCTGAGCCCGGCTTCCTGGGACCACAGGGAGAGCTGGATGGACTCCAGGTGCAGCAGAGTTCCGTCTGAGCCCAGACCCACGGGCAGCTTAGAGCAGCCACTGCCTGCCCTGGGCCGGCAGCAGCTTCCACTCCCCACCATGCAGCCTAGGCTTCCAGTGGGCACAGCCCTGGCCACCCCGGTCTCAGTGCACTGCGGCTCCTGGCCCTCCAGGGCCTGGGGTGGCGCCATGCCAGCAGGGCTGGGGCAGCGGTGAGTGCCCCTCCTGTACTTCACACATGCCAACAGACCCCACTCGTCAGCTGCTGCCACCCACGGCACCAGGTCTGTGCCACACACTCTGTGTCTGCATCTCAGGCAGCAGGGACGGAGCCCTGGTCTGGGGCGGCCTCTGGGTGCCAGGAGAAGCAGGACAGGCGCTGTGATCCAAGGCACACTCTTCTCCCAGGCCACCCGTGGGTGATACTCTGGGTCCCACAGGCACATGCTGTCCTGCCTCCACCACCCTCCACCCCCATAGGCCTCACCTGTCACCGTCCCCTTGCCACTCTGTCTGCCCTGGGCCCCCAGGAGAGAAGCTCTTGGCTGACTGCCTCAGTGGTCAGGGGAACAGTGTGTCCACGTGGCTGCGGCAGCAGTGGAGACTGACTTGTTTAACAGGGGAATCGTCACTTGCCAATTGGCCCCTAATACAAGCCTTTCGTTGTCCACCGAGCCTCTCCCCAGCTCTGCTGCGGTGCTCAGAGGGTAGCAGCCATCCACCTGTGAGGTCCCTGCAGTGAACCAGGTCCCACCAGCCAGACCTCCACATCCTGGGACCACCAGACCGCAGCCAGGCCACCACCCAGCTCAGGGCTGCTTCTCTGAGCAGAGCTCACCGAGTTGAGGCCTATTAGCACCACAGGGCAGGTTGCCAGGCAGGGTGTACAGCAGCCCCCAGGGGCTCTGGCCTCAGGCAGGGGGTGGGTGAGAGAGAGGCTTCCGGAAGTCCAGTGCGGGAGACCTGGTGCCTTCCGCCAGGCAGTTAGGCCATCTTCTCAGCTGTCGAGTTTCTAGGATCCACGCCTCCTGCAGTCCCGGGCTCCAGGGTGGCGACTCTGCACCCTCTGTGCCTGGCCATATGCCCCAGCCTCCCAGGAAGCCCCCTGGGCAGGCCTTTATGGCAGACCCACTGCCTGCCTGCCTTCCATCTGTCTGGCTTCCGGTGGTGGGGTGATGACCCTGTGCTAAACTTGGCCCAGAGGACAGGGGCCCCAGAAGCGGTGGGCTTAGAAAAGGTGGGCCCCGAGGCCTGTCAGGAGAGATGAGAGTGGCTGGGGCGGGCAGGCATTGTTCAGTGGGAGGGGCCCAGAGGTGGGAACCCACACAGAACACCCGAGGGGCTGGTCACGGGCGCCAGGCCAAGAGGGGAGCGGGAGGCTGGTGGGGATGGTGGCAGGTGGCTCTGCGGGACCCACTGAGCCCTCGGCTCTGTCTTGGCCATGGAGCGGAGCACACGGAGACTTCTCTCAGCAAGGAGAGGGGTGCTGGGCAGACTGATGCACCCCGACGGCAGCACAGGCTCCCGGGTCTGCTGGCGGCAGGGACCAGCGGGGCTGAGGGCAGCGGGGCTCCAGAACAGGCTGGGGGTGCCCCGCACCTCACCTCAGTGCCTGCTCGACCCCCTCCTGGGCCACAGTCTGCCCCCTTTCTGGAGCCAAGACCCCAGCCTGGGGCTCACCCCAGCTCCAGTCGCCTCCGGCCTCCCTAGCCAGCCTGGCTTCATGGTGCCTGGGGGAGTGGGCCCGTGCGCTCGGCATGCTACCAGGGCCGTGGGGGCCATTGTCCAGAGGTGGGGCCCTAGGGCAGGGGCAGCCCGGGTACACCCGTCCACACGTGTCACACGATGGTGGTGGCCACCCCAGCCCTTCACGGGCTGCCCTCCCTGTACCCACGCAGCTGGGACAGGACAAGCCCCGGACTGTGGAGGGGAGTGCTGCTCCCCACAGTTTCTGGGCCTGGGACCCCTCTGCTGGCCCCAACAGGGGCTGCCCAGCCTCCCCGGCCAGGGAAGGGCTGAAGCTGGCCGTCCAGCGGCACCGGGGTATGGGGCCTGTTCCACAGGCACGCTGACCGCTTAAGATTGCTGCCAGGGGCCCATGTCGTGGCAGGGCCTGATCTGGAGTGACCCCCTCTCCTTCTCAACATCAGGAAAATCCGAAGAGTCCTTGGAGAACACAGAAGGCTTCCGGGCAGCGGAGCAGGGGGCCCAGAGGCCTGCTGCAGAGCCCCCAACTGTGGGCCACCCTACCAAGGCCCCGGCGCCAGCCCCCTCCCCATGGGAGGGCAGGAGGCGAGCGGAGCCCCCAGGGGAGCCGACCGCCTTCCCGCAGGGGCTGCCGGCGGGTGCGGAGGAGCAGCGGCAGTTCCTCACGGAGCAGTGCATCGCGTCCTTCCGGCTGTGCCTCAGCCGCTTCCCCCAGCACTACAAGAGCCTCTACCGGCTGGCCTTTCTCTACACCTACAGCAAGACCCACCGGGTACGGCTGCCTGCGGGCCGCGTGAGGCGCGGGTGGGGCCAGTGAGGTGTGGGCGGGGCCGGTGCACTGTGAGCCTGGTTTGAGGAAGGGCTGGCAGGAGCCAGTGGGTGGGTGGGAGCGTGGAAGTGTGGGGAGGGGCCTGGTGAAGCGTGGTGGGGCCGGTGAGGTATGAGCGGGGCCAGTCCAACGTGTTCCACGTGGCAGAAAGGGTCTCCGAAGCAGCAACGGGTGGGGGGCTAGTCCAAGATGGTCCAGCTTTCCAAGTGAGAAGACTGAACCTCAGGCTTGCATGTGGGGCAGGGGTGAGAGCCAGCAGGCCCACGGGCCTTCTGGTGTGAGGTCCAGCCTGGGGCCTGTCTCTGCCCCGTGCCAGCTTCCCTCCCCTGCGTCCCTCTGCCTCATCTCCTGCCTCACCCCCTAGATTGAGCTGGCCTGGCCTGGCCGTCCAGGCGCAGCCTATCGAGGCCTCCTCGCCATCCCCCTGTCCTGGGCTTGCCCTCAGGTGCCAGGGCCTGGACCACCTTCACAGCTCCGCTTCGTGGGGTGCATACACCTCCTCCAGCAGGGCCAAGGGTTCCCCAAACCTCCTCCATGGGCAGTTAGTGCTTGTGGGGGACACAGCATGCCATGGTACCTCCCTTCAGCCCTCACTCACTAGGTGGTGCTGAGGGGACAACACCCAGAGTCAAGGCCCCTCCCTCAGAGCTACATCCTAAGTGGGGTATATTAACCAATGAGCAAACAGCATGCCGAGAATAACAGGGGATAGGGAAGCAGGCTAGGTGCTGCTGGGGCTCCAAGAGGTGCTTTTTATGCTATGGCCTCACCAAAGGGGCAGGGAGGCCACAACTTCTGACCTCCTCCAACCCTATAAGAGGAAGACAGAATCACCATCAGTAGCCTAAGGCCTACTCCTGCAAGGCCAGGCATGCCACCTCCCTCCAACCCCGACACCACCCGTTACTCCTGCAGCACCCACTACCTCTCTGCTGGGTTTGATAATTCGCTGCAGTGGCCACACGGAACTCACAGATTATGGGGTTTATGAGGGAAGCACCAGGCTACAATTCAAGTTCAGGAACAGCGCTCAATCTCTCTCGGCCCGCTGTCTCTCAGCCAACAGTCTCTCTCAGTTTCTCTCTTAGCAGTGCGTGTCTCGGTGTCTCTGAGCAATGCGTGTCTCTCGGCATCTCTTTCTCAGCAGCGCGTGTCTCTCAGGAGCATGTTTCTCTCAGCGGCACATCGTTTGCAGGCAGGAGTCAGGCTTTTTTTTGCCTCTAGGAGGGCTCCTTTTGAGCCTGGCAGAGTGGCCAAACTAACCAATCATAACATCAGAATTCTAAGCACATGCAAGAGAGCATACTTCCCAGAATGTTGCTTTGTCCCATGCTCAACAGAAATACCCCAGGTGGATAATTTTAACAATTAGGAGCTTCTCAGTTCACAGCAAATTCCGCCAAGGGGTTTACAAACTTACGGTTTGAAAAGCCATACCAGGTAATTTACTACACTGCAGACCTGTAGGGTGACTGGTAGGGGAGCACCAGACAGGAGTGACACAGGAGACCATGGTGGTGGCACCCTGGGAAGGCTGTATGGACAGGCCCCTGGTTCCAGCTTCAGGCCACCAGGCAGCCCGCCTCTGGTCTGCTGCCACCTGCCCCTGGAGTCAGCTTCTGCCAGCTCCCCTGGGCCACCCACTCACTCTCCCTCTAGGGACTTTTGAAGAGCCAGGAGAGGCAGTTGGTCAGAAACCAGCCTGGCTTGGCACTGGTTATGTGGCAGGAAGGTGCTTCATCTAGAGTATGAGACGCTGCCCAATACACAGTGGGAAATGCTGGACATTGGTGTGGCGTGGGGTTCGGTCAGACCCAACAAGCAGGCCCCTGCGTCTTCGTCCCCGTCTGAGTCTTTCCCATTGTGCACAATGTTGGCTGAGCGTTGTCATAAGTGCCCTTTATCATGCTGTCCTTGCCGTTCCTACTTTGCCGAGGGTGTCCACTGTGAGAGGGCCTGGGTTTTGGCAGGTGCCTCTTCTTCTTCAGTTGGATGCTTACATATTTTTCCTTCGTTCTGTTGATGTGTTACAGCGATTGATTTTCTTTTGCTGAGCCACTTTTACATCCCAGGGATAATTGCCATTTGGTCGTGGTGTGTGAACCTATTAATACGTTTGGATTGGGGTTTGTTTTGTTTTGTTTTGTTTTTAATTGTGATTTGGGTGAAAGTTTACAGAGCAAATTTACTTTCCATACAGCAGTTCACATACACTTTGTCTCATGACATTGACTACAATTTACCCCAATGCAACAGCTCCCCTCCCACTTCCTCCCCACAGTTACCTCTTCCCAGTGTCCATCCCTCCATGCACTCCTGCCCCCTGAGCTGTCTCCCTGTGCATAAGCAGCCCTTCTTTCTCCCATGATTGTTCTCTCCAAGAAGTGTATCTACCTCAGGTACATGTTGAACTCATATACCTGTCTTTTGTTTGGCTGGAAGCCACAGGTGTGCATTCAATTCCAGACCTGAAGGGCAGCTAGGGGCCATATGTTTGGATTGGGTTTGTGGGAAATTTTTGCATCCATATTTATACAGGGTATTGGTCTGTCGTCTTTTTCCATGGCATCTTTATTGGCTTTGATAACAGGCTTATGTTCTGGCCTCGTAGAATAAGTTAGGAAGTGTTCTTTCCTTGTCTGTTTTTCAGATGACTTTGAGATTTGCTGTCATTCTTCCTTAGTGTTGGGTAGAACTCAACCAGTGCAGCCACCTGTCCCTGGGCTTTTCTTTGTCGGGAGGGTTTTTTAATTACTGATTGAATGTCTTCAGTTGTTACAGGTGTACTAAGATTCTCTGTTTTGTCTTGAGTCAATTTAGGTAATTTGTATGTTTCTAGGCGTCTCACCTAGATTATCAAGTGTCTTCACAGCATTTTCTCATAATCCTTTTCATTTCTGGGTGAGCCAGCTTTCCTTGTTTTTTTGTATGCCTTGTGCTTTTCTCCATTTCCGTAGGATCAGTAGTGATGTGTCCCATTCATTTCTGATTTTACTTGTGTTCTCTCTCTCTCTCCCTCCCTCCCCCACTCTCCGCCTCTCCCCCTCTCTTTGATCTTCTCAAAGAATCAGCTTTTGATTTTGTGGACTCCGTCGTGTGTCTGTGGTCTGTCTGTGGACTCTGTCGTGTGTCTGTGG